ATAACGAATTTTAAAAGAACACTACTTCATAGACAAGTTCAAACCAATGCCAAACCAACAATTTCCATAGAACATGTGAGCAGATGGAAGTAAATGTCCCTCGAGATTATCTGTGTACCGCTCACTGTTCATATTCCCTTCAAATACACAGAGGGGCGTTGCCCCTAACACAGATATGTCACCCCACACGTTAAATTTCGGACTGTACTTTGGGTGCTGATACAAAGGTTTTTCAGTTCGTTTGGTCCAGAATTTCAGTGTATTAAAGGGCAAGTGTACACGAAAATTAACCTTTTTGTCTTGCACGTTTTCTTCATAAAAAGTGTTTATCAAGTCGTTTTATATCCAAACCCGTACATAAATCAGAAGTAACTAATTTATTATTTGCGTTATATCAATTCATATTTTCAACATTTACCAAGAGTTCTATGTCCACAATAAACACACCATGGCTTATGTCCCTTGGAAATGACGTCATTGGTGCCCAAACGATAAACGAATGACGTCGTCAGACCTTATTAGACCCATTTCACGTGGTGCAGGTATAGGTGTGGTTCTTGTGTCTCGATGCGCAGGCTACTGTTTTAATCCACCTGTTGCTTGGCCGTCAGCTTGCTATGTGATCAGTTCTACACTGTAATGACGTTGCAGTTTGAAAAAACGTATACATTGTACTAAGAGTGTTACCACGTAACCAAATTGTATAACATATACAACCTGAGTCGGTCGTCTTTCCAACAGTACCTTTTTTCATGAAACCTATAAAACGTAGATGCACTACATCTTGCTTGCCATCGGTGAATATGCCGGAATTCTACGTTTGTTACTAAAGTTCTTACATAAATCGTACGATATGTCACTCCTCTTCCACCTAATTCACTTTTATATCGATAGTACTCTACATCACGCAGATAAATGCAATTTGCAGTTTTGAACACTGTTTGAAATTCGTTTTTCTATGATAGCATCCGCTGATTGTAGATAAAATTTACTGAAAATTTCATGCATCGTAAATCTCGCCAGTTTTTACACATTACTAAATCACCATTCACTGCGTTTTGCGTAATTTATGGTAAAATGTCAAATTTTACTGGGAGAATTGAATTTAAAAGAAAAAGATGTATCATTGTGATCAGCAGTAGTTTTGTTGTTGTATGATCGAATCACCAATGCTCGTTCTGAAACATTATCAATGAACCGAGAATCGCTGAGAATGTTTTGGAAAATACGCAAACGTCAAAGTGAAGTTTCAGCCATATTACATAGTGTTTATAAAATCACGTCACATGTATGTCGGTTATGTTTCGTCCGTAAAATTCAACACCATCTTCCTTACATGAATCCCTGAATTCCTCATACAGTTCAAAATAAACTGACAAATGGACTTTGTCACCAATACGAAGTGTTTCAGTGAAATCTAACGAAATATATCGAAGATATGAGTTGCCGCGCTGTGAAAGAATACTTGTTTGAAATGTATACAAAGCCAATCTCAGATTTTACACTGTGTATCCGTTCGCCTACTTGTTGCATACAATTGCTCATTAGTTTTAGAACATGCATGGGAAAGGTATCGTAGCAAGCGATAGTTAAATAAAATAGGTGTATGCCAATGATTTTCTAGATTCATCAAAACATATTAATATTTTTTTGAAAGCATGACGCCATAACTGACGCAAACTCACGCACAACGATGACGGTACTTCTCTTAATTTCTGACTATTTCCCTTGGTCACAATGAAAACAAAAAGAAAATAACAACCAGCAGACTGTCAGAAGTTTCGGACTACTTACATGTCACATTTATGCATATACGTTGCTTGAAACAACGAAAAGGTCCTTCGAAAACTCGTGTCAGTGAACACGCCATTTTGCAAAAGTCGCTTCCCGATAGTGATGTCATACGGACGTCAACATTGTTATACATATTTGGTATTTTCATTGAGGCGAGGTTATGAATGAAAATACACACGACCAATCCGTCCTGCTGCTTACATTTTCTGTTCTTATGCTTCTTCGTATTTTCACGAACTTTTTTTCACGTGATTAATATCAGTATTATTATCTTTTGATTTGGGACTAGACAGGAAACCAGTTTAAATTCAAGTGGCACCAATTACGTCATAATCAAAAGGGCGGTAACTCTGGCCTGTTTAGCTCGGCAAAAAAATACCTCATATTGGCATAACATTTCAGCACTTATTTTGAGGGTTATACTTACGTTGTAAGAAAAATGAGTGTATATTTTCAAACATTGGTATTAACTTATTAAAACAGTTCACTTTGATTCACATAAGAATAAATGTGATTTATTCGTGTACACTTGCCCTTTAAACATTGTCCCAGTTTAAATTTCTATGCTGTAAGCACCAGTTCAACCTTCGCTCCTTTTGTTCAGGTTTCATGATCGGTGATGGAATTCCTCGACTTTTCTTCCAATCCATTGCATGCAGCTCTGTTCTAATTGTCTCCTTACAGACAGCCACAGTTCCTCTATCAATCATATCCAGCCTTAAATTTTCCAAACCCGCTCCGTTTGTTTTTAGAAACAAGAATACCAAGCCGCCTCCTGTCACCGACAGTCAATTTTTCTGGGCCTACCTGCGCCTCCCTGGTGCTCAATGCCATATCTATTTGCAAAATTTTTTCAAAACACGATAAACAGTGGACAAAGGGATGCCTGTTCTACTTAAAATCAACTTAACTGATCTGATGTTCTTGTTGTAATACTCTAAAATCAACTTCCTCTTCTCTAAATCATCCATACTGAGGATCACTGAAAATGTCGTCTGCTAGCAAGTAAATAAAGGGGGATAACCCTTCACAAACTAATGAAAAAGGATTAACGGAGTTGTCTCTCTTGAATGAAACCAAGCACTTGATAGCTGGTCAAGGTTGTTTATACTAGAAATCCAATTAAACATATTTCTAACATTCTCAATAATTTCTGGTCATACTATAGAATGTTGATTTATGGGTGTGTTCATAAATATAAAATATTGTCATATTGTCAGATGTGAACAAATTACAAATGAAAGATTTCGAAAGCCATAAAAAGCCCTATCGAGCTGGTTCATACAAGACACGTTCCGATGTCAATGTTTTTGTTAAGCATGAAATAAGTGTTCACCGTAAATCATTTTCACTTCGGATATTAACTTAACATGAAATTTGAAGATCGTTAACATTCTATAGATATTTTTAATTATAATACAATCCAAATGGTTTTATACTATCAAACAATTTGTACACAGTTTGGGTAGAAACAATACTTGTCGCACATGAGATAATCATATAAAATCTATGTTGACGCATGTACATAATTTGTGAATGACACCCAATAGTTACTTGTGTATAGTACGTTTGTCCTCTGTCGAGACCAGTTCGAATTAACACGTTGTGTTATCGACTTGATATATAAAAGAAATATAACAATGCATGCATAATAAACCAAGAGAACAGAATCTGTACTTCCCTTGTCAAGCGCACATATAGTGTTTAAGAACTCAAATATCATTCGACAGTATTATCATTTACTGAGTGGCACTGTTTTCAATGCATAGTTCACCTAACCTCAATCAGCGCATCGTATCATTTTGTGACGATTAGTCAGACCTGATAACACAGTTCATCATACACATGCTGCCATACATTGTTGACATATACTAGGAAGATACTAATTTAAATAGACTTAAATAAACATTTTTGTTTTATCTAATTTAAATTCGCACATCACACAAACATAGCAGTGAAGATTGATGGATCGGTTATCGCACGTAATTGGTAGATAGAGTGTACACATAGATTGGAAATAATTTGGTTATTTATTCATATACTAGGTATGTCAGCTGTACATATGTTTCATTTAAATTTCTTATTTCGCTTGTCAAAATCATGCCTTATACGAAATATTTACCTTGATATTTGGAACGTATTTAGCACTGTTTGAAACTTAATATACTGGAAACTTAAAGAAACTAAATTTGCCACTACGCCATGATTATTTATGGCGATAAGACGGATATAGTTTCTAACAGTTTCCCTGCAATGAATGATGTTGGTGGGGACACTTGTCTGCCCCTTCGAAGAATGAGACTCTGTCATAACAAAGTATATACAATAAAGATTCAGTCCAAACTGACATGTTTTTGTTGTTAATTCATACCTATATGACTTAAAGTGTGAAGCTAGAAGTGAACGCCATTATTATGCACAGTTATAAACTACGGATACATCAAGTAAATGAACAGGTGATAACAAACTTGATTCCCCACATGGAACATTGTAAAAAATCGGTGTTAGACCAATTTCTGGTGTCCCCGCCGTTAGTTCGAACTCACTTATCACTAGACAATGTATAATCTAAACTGCATTTTCCGTTCGGCTAGGCATAGTTTATACGCAGATATAAAGAAAACCGTTCTGTGTTTGTGTTCTAACATAACAAACCATCTGGCCCTCGATAACCAGGGAACTGGACATGTCGTTATAAGAAAGGTTATCAAGGGCGATATGACTAGTTTGACATTATGATCAGGGTAGACTGTACAGAGGACGCGCGGGCTTGTGCTTGTGCGTGTGTGTGTGAAGCGGATCTTCCTGTGGCCATTGTGCTGTGCCTTTTAATTCCATCTCATATAATCAAGCTCTAGTAACTAGAACGTGAAATTGTGACAGTGTTGTCCTGTGTGCCCATGCGTAGCTACTGGTGTGACCGATCAGTATAACACAGACATTCCTTATATTCGCGATATGGCTGAAATACTGCCGATGTGTCTTACTATGTTAACTTATTCACTTCGGTTGACACGTAATACCTAATTAACACGCAATTGTATAAAGAGTGAGATCCTCATCACGTTATAGAAAGTAGACGACATCAATGAAAACATACTGGACAAAGGGAGAGAGAGAGAGATGTTTGCTCATCACACACCCGCTTTAACCGTTTACAATTTCAATGTATGTTAAGCTGCACCACCTTCAATGCATACATGAAACCCGTTGTATTGATCACGTGACATCACCTGTCATACATGTTATTCTCTTCCTGGTTGCCGCACACTGAGGTCGAGCTCGATGCGGGATGGCCGTGTGCGTTGTGAGTACTTTATTCATTAAATTAACTGAGATCATTAACATTTCTACGATGGACCACTTCTCAAACTAGATCCATGAGATACCAAACGTTTTTAATTGACATTAGGCTTACTTTTAATCCTGTTTATATTATCGTTAACTACACAGCTAGTCGTTTATTGCCACATCGTTGATCACAGCATATTATTGACAATGCAGGATCATCTTCACGTACCTTGTCATCTCCGTTCGTGAATAAAAAGCTTAACTCTGTCTTGAAACATGAGACGCAAACATGGACAAGGTATATAGTGCATGGATACTTCACTGAACAGTTTGCTTGTTGTTAGCCTTCAACGGAGCACTGTGTTTACGTGTAACCTGCAGTGTAGTGTCATCTCATTGCTCAGACATGGCGAAATAGGAAAGAAATATTTTTCCCGCACAGACCCTTTACCTTTCACCTCCCGGGTATGCATACATACGAAAGCCTGTTGCTGCTACTTTTGTAGCATAAAATATTTGTTCAGTTTCCTCTTCATTTCATACATCGTCTTGTTTCTTCGACTTTTTAATCGTTATGGCAATTATTTTCTCGAAATTCCGAATATTTCTTTTCTTGATTTTGATGATTTTATCTCTTAAATCTATTTCAAAAACACTAAAATTTTAATAGAAGTAACGAGAATATACTCGTAATTCGTTGTATTTTTAAAAAACAATAATGAAGCACCGTGAAAATAGCCAAATTTAAGGAGAAAATACTAAGCATTTCTAGAACATGACTAAATTAACGAAAACGTAATAGAATAAGTGCAAAACTCCGCAAAACCGACGGGAGTCATATTTCAGAGTCGACAGCATATCAAACGTAAAATACATTCCCATGTGTGAACAGTTTTTCTTCTCCAAGAATGTGTAGATGTTTGGAGTCGCCCTTGCAGGATAAGAAATATTTATGATGAACCAAGTAGGTAAACAAGTGGAGTTTCTGAGGGGATATGTGCTAATCATATCACTTTCTGAGCTTTTAAGGATTACACAGTTTTGAAACTATTTATCAGATGTTTTTGCACCTTTCGGAACATATATGTTGCAAGACATATTGCCACAAACCAGTGAAAGTAATATTAATAGATACCTGAAAACCAGAAATGACACCAGGTGATCCTGAAATTCTTACAATGTGCATCAGCAGGTATCTACAAAGAAATCCATACTCTAAAATGTTAATGGTGAATTACAAATTGAATTATTATTTATTCACAAATAACGTTCTTATTTTTGTTAGTCACGTTAATTTATAAAATCTAATGGGGTATTTTCCTTGGGCAATTCGTTGTTTACGGATATCAGGAAGTTGAACTGTTTTGTAAAGATTTTTTCAGTGAACTGATCGCCCCAAACCAATTCACTCTACCAGAATATAAAGAGTCAAGGAAATGCAGAAATTTATACATTAACAAAGACATCTCTGAAACGTACCTGCGCATTTTATTGTGTTTAAAGATGTTACCCAGCAATACCTGTCCCGGCTGAAAGATGTTTGTAAACGAACGAGGTGAGCGTGAGACGCAATATCGCCTCCCTTTATTTGTAGGGACATTCTTATATTGGTATATTAGGTTCCGTGTGTTTGTTCGTGTTTAATCCCACACTCAGTCTGTAAGTAATCGAGTTTGGTCGAGACATTCAAGTAACTGACAGCATGAGTATCGATCTATACAGCTGGGACACAATGGCATGTGTAAACCAGGCACCCGTGAAGAGCCACCTCCTCGTGGTGGGTGCTAGGTAACGCTAAGCGCTCTTCAACCACTCGAGTGGACCCGGGGGCAGAGTGGTCCACAGCACCCCATTGCTGGTCTTAAGACCGAATTGGGCAACCTGTTTGCCGTGGGTTGCGCTCCTGTGTCTGGTGGTTGAGGGCACTGGGAGCCTGGAACCGTTTCCTTTTGCCCAAACACCACTTCGCCCCTTACGTCACCTAGACGGGTGGTTGAATGGGCCCGATTCAATCAATCGGCTGATCACGCCATGCCCTGAGCATGGAAATGTTCATGTTGACATTATTTTGCTTATATTGTATGTTGACACTGAATATTGTGTTAATTCTATTATCAGTATAATATTTGCCTAGAGTCCTATGCCAGAATGCGGTGGCTCATGGGCCGATCTGATGAAGTCGACCTCTAAATTCTGTGTGTCTCCAAGTTTTTGTTAGAGCCGAACCAGACTGACCTTATATTTTGTAGACAAATACAGCTATTTACTAGAGTATATCACCCTTGTATCCCTGGTGTGTGCATGCTGGATATCCCCTGCAAATAGACACTGTCCTTGTTGACACTCGGTGGCGGGTGGGGAGCAAGGGTGCTGAACCCCTTACATACATCATGAGTCAAATAAATTCTGGTTCCGCTAGAAATGACAAGAAAAGGCGTCTGGAAGCTGAAGATATTTCAGTTCCAAAGCAACAGGACAACTGGTCAAAATTTATAGCCATTGAGGTTACAAATGGCGAACCCCTTAAATTCAATCCATTTTTGATTTCCAAAACTATCCAATCTATATGTGGAGAATTTGAAAACGTGCCGTGTCTCCGAGGTGGTCAGCTCCTTGTAGAATGTGCAAGGAGACAACAATCAATTAATCTGTTACAACATCAATACGCCAATGTCAGTGTTAAGAGCACAGAACATAAAACTCTCAATTCGAGTAGGGGCATTGTTCGGGACAGAGCCCGTTGTTTGTCGAACTTGTCAGTGGAGGAAATCGTTGAGGAACTTAAAGATCAAAATGTCACATCGGTTAAGCGCTTCACAGTCAAGAAACAAGACGGTAGAACTGTTCCAAGCAGCACATACCTGCTTACTCTTTGATTGAGCACAGTCAATAAGTCAATAAAAGCTAGTTATTTCAATATCGGAGTGGAGGTGTATATCCCCACTCCACTCCGATGTTATAATTGTCAGAAGTTTGGTCATGGCTCAAAATCCTGCCGAAATACTCTTCGTTGTCATCGTTGCGCTGAGGATCATGAAGATGCTGACTGCAGCAAAGATCCTAAATATGTAAACTGCGGCGGTGACCATGTTTCATCTTAAAAATCCTGCCCCAAATAGCAGAATCAATCAAAAGTTGAAGTTCATCAATTGCAGTCTCAGACAGTTAGTTATTGAGCTGCTGTTTCCCAAAAAACCCAGATCAGTGTCAGTTTCATGCCAAACCGATTTGACTTCGACTAAATCCAAACAACCTATCTCTGTGCAAACTACTTCTAATAGCCAGACCACTGTGACATCAGACTCTCAGGCTGTCAGCCATTCAGAACAAACGACTGCTCAGAAAATCGTTAATGTTGGAGGTAACCCCATCTTCAGAAAACAAAAATAGGAGTTCTTCCTCACGTTCTCGTGAGAGGTCCCAATATAGGCACCATGAACCAGAAACCTAATCTATTACAATGGAATTGCAGAGGCCTAAAGGCTAAATTTTATGATCTACATATATTATCAGAAGATTTTAATCCATCAGCTTTTAGTTTACAAGAGGTATTTTCGTCAGTACAATTCATTTTTCACCTCCAGGTGAGAAAGCTACTGGTGGCGCTTCTATTTTGGTGAGGCAAGGTGTTATTCATAGCCATGTCCGTCTTAAAAGCAATCTTCAGGCTGTTGCTGTCTGCCTCACTTTACAAATAACCTTCACGCTTCGTTCCCTGTATATTTCTCCATCTTCTGCTCTTCAGCAGTCTGATCTTCCGGATCTATTCGACCAGCTTCCCAAACCCTGTATTATCATGGGTGATCTTAACGGACACAACCCTTTGTGGGGAAGTACCGATACTAACATTAAAGGGACAATCCTTTAAGACTTCATTTCCAATAATAATTTATGCATATACATGTATAATGACGGATCAGCCACTTATTTACATCCTGGTTCGGGAACTTTTTCTACACTTCATCTGTCTCTCACAGATCCAAATATATATAATGAATTCGTATGGTCAGTCCAAGACGACCTGTTTGGAAGTGACCATTTTCCCACAATATTCCCTCAGCAATAAATCCGACTGATGACCCACCTGCTACAAGGTGGAATTTTAATAAGGCCAACTGGCCATTATTTCAGACACTCCATACTGCCACCTTGAAATCTGACGATTTTGTCAATTATCTGGACTGTATTCAGTTATTCTCTGATAAACTGAATAAAATAGCTGATGAATCTATACCAGAGTCCTCTTCAATCCCACATATTCGTAAGCCATGGTTCAATAATGAATGTAAACAGGCCAGAAAGTGTTGAAAGAAAGCCGAAAAGTATTTTCGACGACATCCTACAGTCCATAATGTAGATAAATTTAAACTTTTCAATGCCAAGGCTCGGCGTGCATTTAAACAGAATAGGCGTCAGTCTTGGCGAAACTACGTTTCCAAAATAAATTATCGCACACCTATTTCAAAGGTGTGGAACATGATTTGATTCAACGAATAAAGGGCAACGGTTCCAAATCTACTGTTCATCATCTGCAGGGTGGTGACATTTTATTGACAGATAAAGTTGACATTGCCAATAAGCTTGGTGAAACTCTCCCCAAACATTCTTCTTCGTCAAATTACGTTCCAAAATTTCAAAAATATCAGAAACAACAGGAGAAGACACTAAATTTTAACTCGGAGAATAGCGAAGACTATAATGAATTATTTTCATTACATGAGCTCCATACTGCCTTTGAGCAAGCTCATGATAAAGCAACAGGGGCTGATGATATCCACTATCAGCTCCTGTAGCATTTACCCGAATCGTGTTTGGGAACACTGCTAAATATTTTTGTTTCAAAATGGACTACAGGGAATTTCCCAACTTCGTGGCGTAATGCCATTGTTGGCCCTATTCCAAAACCCGGCCGGGATTTTACTGATCCGTTTAATTACAGACCAATCTCTTTGACGAGTTGTGTCTGTAAAACCATGGAACGAATTGTAAACAATAGGTTAACTTGGTATCTTGAAACCAATAACCTTATAACAAATATCCAATGGGGTTTCAGGAAAAATCGGAGGTACCATTGATCATTTGGTACGTTTAGAATCCTTTGTTAAAAAAAATGCTATAAATGCTATAGTAAATAAACAACATGCAGTATTGATATTCGTTGATCTCGAGAAAGCATACGATACCACCTGGAAGCATGGCATTTTTAAGGATTTACATGATTTTGGTTTGAGGGGTCTTTACCTCTTTCTATATCACAGTTTTTAAGAGACAGGCAGTTTCAAGTCCGAGTGGGTTCAACCCTGTCTGACCATTATAATCAGGATCAGGGTGTTCCACAAGGCAGTATTTTGTCTGTCACATTGTTTAGTATTAAGATCAATAGTTTATCCAAGGTTTTAAATGATTCAATTGATGGATGACTTTTTGTGGATGATTTTAATATTTCTTGTCATGTTAAAATATGCATACTATTATACGGCAACTGTAGTTATGTCTAAACAAAATAAATATATGATGTCTTGAAAACTGCTTTAAAGTTTCTAAATCCTAAACTTATTGTATACTTTTTTGTAGAAAGTATAAACCGCATGAGGACCCTGAACTGTTTCTCAATGGCACTCCCATCAAAGTTGTTAAGGAGGCAAAGTTCTTGGGTTTAATTTTTGACTCGCATTTAACGTTTCTGCCGCATATTAAATCCCTTAAAGCTAAATGCCTGAAGACACTTGACTTGATGAAAGTTGTTTCAAATTTTAAGTGGGTAGGGGATCAAGCTACCATCCTTCACCTATATAGATCACTGGTCGGCTCGAAACTTGATTATGGCTCCATTGTATATGGTGGAGCCTGTAACAGCAACGTCAAATTATTAGATTCTGTCCACCACCAAGGTCTAAGACTTTGTCTTGAATCCTTTAGGACATCTCCTTTAGGACAGTCTCTACGTCGAGGCAGATGAACCATCTCTTGCACAACGCCGTATAAAATTACCATTACAATATACTACCAAATTCTATTCTAACGAATCTAACCCTGCTTTCAACTGTGTCTTCAATCCCCTATATGAGGACTTAAACACCAAGAAATCTTATCTTGTTCCTCCTCTTGGACTTAGAATGAAATCATTTTTTTTCTGCTGTTGGCATTGATCTTGAAACTATATCTCCTTCCCGTCTTCTTTCTTCTCCTCCTTTGCAATTGGTGAGGCCAGACGATGACCTAACACTGACAAAGTATAAAAAATCAGAAAGTAATGACTTACAATATAAACACGAATTTAATCAATTAAAAAGTAAATATGATACATACAAATCTCTATTTACAGATGGGTCCAGGGACAGTGGCGCCTTTGCTTGTGCCACTGTCATTGGATCCCGAACAATATCTTCTCGCATACCAGATAACAGCTCTACTTTTACAGCAGAAGCAAACGCCATACTAACAGTGCTTAAAATACATTTTAAAAAAAAACAAATACAAAAAAATATAATCTTTTCAGACTCTTTCGTGTCTTCGCGCTATTAACAATCTTTCTTGCAAACATCCACTTTTAATAGAAATTATTGAATTATATAATGATCTTGCTACTGGCCAATACGACATCGTCCTTTGTTGGTTACCCAGCCACGTTGGCATTTCTGGGAATACAATGGCCGATCTTGCTGCCAAGACAGCACTCAACAAATCTGTGACACCACGTCTTATTCTATACTCTAATTATAAAGCTGTCATCAGCTCTTAAATCCGTGATCTAATGCAGAAGAAGTGGGACACTGAGGTAGGTATTAATAAATTACAGGAAATAAAACCCTATATTGGTTACACCTACTTGGGTTGTCAGTCCAGATTTGAAGAGGACATCCTACGACGATGTCGTATTGGCCACACAAGATATACTCATGAGTACCTATTGAAAGGCGAGGATGCTCAGTTTTGTATCCCTTGTGATGAAAGAATCACCGTCAAGCATGTCCTGCTTGACTGTTTTGAATATTCCATCACAAGGGATATCTATTTCAAATCACGAACTGTGAAGGATCTTTTTAATAATGTCAGTTCTCATTTAATCATTGCATATTTACAAGAGTTAGATTTGTTAAATGATTTGTAAATAGATAAATGGTATTTTAAACGTGGTAGTATAAATTAGCAACTGCGATTGTTAGTGGCTGTATCCTCCAAGGGGGTTAAAGTATCGTAAAATTATTGTCCTCCTGAGAGGGTACGTAAGTCCCAATTTTCATTGTTTTTAAGTTTTGGTTACCCGATTTTTAAACGTGGTATATTTGTTCCTATAAAATTCGGTGGCTGAAAGGGTAGAAGGTAGCAAAGGCACTGTAAGTCCCCATAAACCCTAGTATGGTGATCTACCTTCAGTTGTTGGCGATCAATAGCCTGTTTCTATATTGTATCGTCCTCTATAGTTAAAGTATTTTAGATTTAATTACTAGTTATAGGTATATGTCTGTGAAAGTCTAGTTGGTTTTACTGTCCTTTGTCGACATCTATTTAAATTGATTACCTTGTTTTCATCGCTATATGGCTGTACTATTGCCGATGCGATGTAAAATGTTAACTCACTCACTCACTCCCCTGACCACCCGATCCCGTTAGTAGCCTCTTACGACAATCATGGGTTGCTAAAAGAGTTTCCTCTCGGACCTACAATGCTTTGGAATGCTGTTGCATGTTATAAATATTTCGAGGTTTTGTCTGAGGCATGTTTCATTAATCGTTGAGAAAAGTCTGCAAGGTTTAAAGCTCTCCATTTCGGACGCTCAGGTAACTTTTGCTATTCCTGTAATTATGATTGTGAACGTTTTCTGTTGATTTTGTCACTTAGGAATACGGCATGGGTTGGTTCTGGATTGGACTGCTTGTGGTCTGTGTCTCTGCGACTCTCACTGGTAAGGACTTTATTCACAGAATGTTAAAGTTTAAATATCTGATATATTTTTTGGTTTTTATGAATATGATCGAGTTGTGGTATATCTTTTCTAACAGATGCCGAGTGTCACTGTAACACTGAAGCTGCCTGTGCCGTGTTCCCCTCTAATCCCTGTAGCCAGGTCGGTGATCCAGACAGATGTCAGGAAGGATGGTTCGGTTCCTATTGCCAGAGACGTGAGTTTGAGTTTCATTATTAGATCTTGCAGCATGTTTACAAATAACCGGTCTTTTTTTATGCTGATTAAGTATCTGTATTTCAGAAAACATTGCCTTACGGAGACGTTGTAACCAGAGTAGTGTACTGGACGATCGTTCAGATCTATATCAAGCAGCCCTTGGTGTAGACGGCAAAGCCACCACAAATGCCAAGAGCGACCCACGGACATGTGCTCATACCAAGATTGAGACAAATCCCACCTGGACTGTGAACCTGAACACTTCAGTTCCAGAGAAGATACAACACACCAGACTCTATCTACGTGACGACCGTGAGTACACATATATTATTAAGAAACACAAGAATGACAAATTTCGACACTGCAAGAAAGGGTCTCTTTGGAACATCGGGGAATAATATTGTCGCCTTTCAATTGCCAGCAACGTCCGCCCTACGAAAATTTACTGAATACGATATTAATGAATCGGATTATTTATTATTGTATCGTATTTGTGACTGATTGTTGAGGAGTGTCTACACACAAATGGTTACTTGTCAAACGTCATAGATTCTATTCATCTAAAGTTGCATCGAACAAGGTATAGCGTCATCAGGTCTGTACTGGTTGTAATGATTCAATAACGACAGAATATATTATTCGTATCGTATATCATTCGACTTTTGCTTCACATTGAAAGACATTATTCATCGTGAAAAAACTAACTGTTTTATGTCAATTGTCAATAGCGCAAATTGTCAGTCAACAACGACGCATACTATGTTGAAAGTGCAGCATATGATTGTGCTGTTACCGCAACTGTCGGCCCCTCCCCTGCTCTATACATATGTCAACACCTTTCATCCAGTGAATGGTACAAAAAATAGCAACAACAAGAAAAGAAATATATTGTTATGTCCAAGGTATACAATTGACATGTACGGTACTGACATTTAATAGACTAGCATTCTCATTTGGAGATAAAGGTACAATAAATACAATGTCCCTATTTTGACATGTACTACGTGTTCAGATGAACGATTGACTTTCTTTTTCGTGGATGTCACCGGTGCTCATTAATATTACTGGGGAATTATAATGTGTTTGCTTCATCTGCATTGTTATTAATATGATGGTATACCTGTAAGTTTCTGCAAAAAGAAGGATGTACGACGGATAGGCTTTTACAATCTTCCTCAAACAGAACCATGTTCGTTTGAAGAGTATAGGCATCTACATGCATACTTATATCTTGTTATAAGCTAGAATTCATTCAAAATAGTTTCACTAGATGGATGTTTATACTAAGCATGGATGATATTTCAGCAGTTTGTGAATATATGTTTGACGTATCTAATAGGAAGAATTCCGTGTATGTGTTGTTCAGAATCTCAACTGATATTTTGCAGGTCTTATATTTCTTTACAATCCTTAACAATGTAATTCCCTGGGTTAAATTGATCTAGATCGATATTGCTAAGTAGACCTTATCTTCCTTGCAATAGTAACCCGATAATGGAAATCCCAGGCCTCTTCACATCCATCACAGATGGTAAATTGTGTGTAAACTGCTTATGTAAATAAGGAACCTTGAATTGTCTGATCCATATCCGTGTTCTTTTATATTGATATCAGTGACAAACGCTCAGACCATCATCACTTAAAACTTTTAGAACTTTTAAATAGATAGAGATTAAGTTTAACGACACGTGTTATATATTATACAAATCATAGTAGCGAGTACCGTTATAGAACTTTTAATATTGAATAAGCTTTCAATACATTTTGTTTACCATACGCACTGTATTAACCTTCTTGTGCTATGACTACTTCATTTTACATTGATGTCGGATGTGATAAGTATTCGTGAGTCTTTACATCTGCCTGTTGTAACGTTGTGTTTGTTTAAGGTACACATACTCATGTACGCAGTCGTGATATGTGGTTGACGGCTCGTTCATTCAGGAACAGGCTCAAGTGCAAACATTCCCTGATTCATTATGTTGTATACATATGTTTCATCATAACTGACATCAACGATTAAACAATTCACATTATGCATATCCTGTATACATGTTCATCGCGCTTAAACCATGCATTTTTAGGATAAATGAGTATATCTATTCAAATATGGTCAAGTAAACGCAAACGAAAATCACAGATAAAAAACCCCAACATATTTATAAAAATCAATACAACAGTTACTTTCACTGAAACAAACAATGTCTGTATTATAGCACTCTTGTTCGTACAGAAATGAATAAAATGTGCTTACATCACCAACCCAACCATTTACGCATTAGTCGATGTTGAAGAATATCAATGCTAGAATTACGTTCCTTGTGTTGTTTGACAGATCAAGAAATAAGATGGCATGCTCTAAAACGCAAACGGTGAGTGCATGTGTGTGTTTCTGTGTGTGTGTGTGTGTGTGTGTGTGTGTGTGTGTGTGTGTGTGTGTGTGCATGTGGGTGGGTTTGTTTGTGGTGTGGTCGTGTATGAGTTGCTCGAGCAAATGTGATATAACCGTCATCATTTCAAATGTGGTTTCGTGCAATACATGTGGAGTTAAGAGAAATTATTGCTGTAATTCACAATTTATGCCACGTGGATTTCATTTCAAATTCTTAATCTTGTCATAAAAGAATCTTAGGGAATAAGAGTTAATATTTGACCCATTTCGTCTTTCGTTGTATCGTTGTATGTTAGTGTTTAAGCGTCAGTGTCCAGTCAGCCTGTTACTGAATTATGAAGTAAGATTTGACCTGAACCAGTTACACTATATCGTGGAAAGCGTTCATATCCCGACTTAGACAACAGAATTTGCGTAAATAATCTTAGTTTCCTTTGAAGTCATCTATGTCCATTTCATATCTAACCGATACGATGCAATTCTTACTCATAATATTTTACATTCATTTTCCATCAGTCCAGGAGAGAAGCAACGGCATGGAGATACTTGTGGGCAGCCAGATGTGCTACAACTGGTCATCAACTGAACATCCTCCTCCTATAGCTAACGTCACCTGCCGTCAGCCACTAACAGGAACCACGGTCACTATACGGATACCTGGTCCACTGAAATTCCTTACTTTGTGTGAAGTGCAGATATTTGGTAGGTCATGGAAGTGTCATACTATGATAGAGATGAAAGCTAAACAATTCAGTATGAGGAACAGATAGATCTCTATGTATGGTAGTTAATACGTTCCCCATCGCCAACAACATGAAGTGTACCTATCGAATTACATAGTTAAATCATTCTATGAACGTTATCAGTAAAAGGATTCATAATTATTCATTCACAACGATCACTGGATATAACTAATACAGAGAAAAAAACCAGAAATATACGTAAAAGATGCTATATTTGGGATTAATCCTGCTTGTTCATGTACATATTCTCGAGCTCCAAATTTAGAGTATAGGTTCAAAATCCGGATGAAACTGTCTCGAGTATCAGAGCTTGAAGTTTATTGTAATCCCGAATATAGCATATAGTGCATTTGACCACTTTCTATAAGGCATTGGAAAAATCAAAATCAAAATGGATTTGTGATACTTAGTTTGCAGTGATGGTTGGTTTTCTGAAGATTGTGACAAACAGTGCCGGTGCCTGAACAGTACTGATGTATGTGACAAGATCACTGGTCATTGTTCTAGTGGATGTTTCCCAGGATTCCATGGTGCCAAATGCCAAACAGGTAGAGTAGAAGAGGACGTGGGTTCAAATTTACATTTAAAAATATAATACCTCAATTGAAATAGTATGTCAGAGGATGTAAGTACATGTTCATCAGGCTATGTCAAACTGCTTAGAAGCAGGGAGCCAAACTTTACACTCAAATCTGATGCAAAGTTCACACACAATATGTAAACTTTGGTTACATTTTCCTTTTTTTAAATGTTTTTCCCATATAGAGATTTAATTATAACAGCTGTGCTCCCGTACTAACATTATACACCAATACATACCATAGTATATGAATGTTAATTCAATAACCATCTGATTTATTCCCAGGTATCAGGTATGTGTCGTAACCAGTCAAATGGCATATTATGAAACCTATCTTTATCTGCCAAATGCCAGTAAAATATTTATCACTATATGGCTGAAATATTCCCGAGGTGACAGTAAATTTTAACTCAAATTTTAAACAGTAAAACATATTCCACCAGTGTTGCGCTTATCCTGAACTATGCAAATAAATAAGTAACATAAGTATGTAAGTAACATCTCAATATGTGTATTTGTACTTTTATCCAGTCTTTTTGTGTAGAATGTCCAGATGGTACGTTTGGTAATAACTGTACCTCCACGTGTGGGCACTGCCTCGATGATGTCAGCTGTAACAAGACTACAGGAACATGTCTTGGAGGATGTGCAGCGGGTTGGGTCAGTGACGACTTGTGTATGCAAGGTTTGTACACATACTCCCGACCACAGTAAGAGATCGGTGACCACGCGTTTCTACAAACAATATTGCATAGAATCCAAACATATTGCTGGCTCCGTTTGAGTTTGACGGCTATGGTATACAGACTGGGTGCAAGCCAAGATAGGAACCTTATCCACCATTTTGCAATCTCTTTGACAAACTGTTGTACTTTCATTTACTGTGTTGGTATTGAAAGTAGGCAGAGCAAACTGTAAAAGTTGACTTGAAATGATTACCAAACAAACACTGATCATATCCAAACATTCTTGTTGTGTAATGGCGACAACATGAGCTACGAAATTTAAAACTGTATGAATGAATGACAAGGGTTCTTTCTAACGAGGAGACATGCAGGCAAAGGTTTATTAAATTAACTATTTAGAGAAACCCATCGTAATATACAAAAATGAAACTCTTCTGTCTGTATTTAAAATGTTATTTAATTTTAAGCATATACGATGTATGTATATTCCATGATCGTGCAGTCTTCTAGTCGCATCTTTCACCTCAAATAAAAGACAATTAAATGAAATTTAAAGTTAGGCAGTTAAACAAGATTCAAAATATAGACCTTATGTGCTTTTGAAAACAGATACTCATTGCCATTGGATTTTGCATATCTGACAAATTTAGTAAGGCAGTAATAATCAGAACGACGTAATCTGCAGGGTTGTGGTTTAAAGGTATTTCTATTTATTCAGCATGTCCAGATCGTTCCTATGGTAATAACTGCTCCTCCCAGTGTGGAAACTGCTTAAACGAAGGCATCTGTGAAAAGAGGGACGGAACCTGCCCTGGAGGATGTGCAGCAGGATGGATGAATGGCACATGCCTACAAAGTAAGCCGGAGATCGTTAGTGTGGTATATGCTGTACACCCCTGTTCGGACACTGCCTAGTCAGAATCAGGAGTTTCTTGAAAGTCTCCAGTAACTGATTGTGCAATAGAGAATCTTGGATCATTGCCAACGAATGTGGCGAACAGGATTTATTATAACATTTACGAAGGTTTAATGTCAAATCTATGTTCTTAAGTTCTGGACGTGACAAAGCTTCCCTAATATATTTGTCTCAACAGTCGCATTAGATGCAATGCACACATCTCCAAGTGTCTGAGATGCATGTACACGTATGCAATGAAAACAGCGATGCATACAAATCAACCTAACCTTTATTTCATGACTGATTTATATGTTTGTTTGTGTGTTCAAATAAGCATGTGTCGACGGTAAACACGGTACAAACTGTGACTTCCATTGCGGGAACTGCCAGGGAGATGATGTGTGTGACAAGGAGACTGGAACTTGTCCTAATGGCTGTGAAACATGGTGGATGGGGGACGCTTGCAGTAAGCTTCTTTATTTGTTTGTTGTTTGAACCCGCAGGCAGCATTTTTCCTGCTGTAACACGGTGCCCTGAAAATAATCGTGTCTGGACCAGACCATCCATTGATTGTCATAATGCACGTGGCTCTACGCAATTCGGATACTATGACATATACTAGCCAAGCCAGCAAGCCTGACCACCCGATCTCGTTAGCCACCTCTTACGACAAGCATTGGTTGCTGAAGATCAGTTCTAACCCGGATCTTTGCATGTCTGGAGTAATCGCTGGAGCTCTCTTCCAGTTCATACCATATTAATACCGTGTCCAGAAGTAAATGCTTACAAAATATGAGGTTAGCATGACATTTTTCAAATAGGTTTGATACTTCAAAAATGTGCAAACACGTATTTACGTTGATTTGCGGTAAGGTAAGTCATGTGTCACACGTAACCACTATGCTGAAACCATGAGCAGGGTGGAGTGCTGACAAAACAACATTGTGCATTTACGAATCTCTGATTATGTATTTATGACACATTAGGAGCCACGTTCTCATGCTGATATTACAAACAAATATATTTGCGATTTTGTCTATCATGGAATCACATTAGTGTTTTCGGTTAGGGAATTGTAATCAGGTTCCTTATATAAACATATCCATATATAGACGTATTTATCTACTAACAATGGCTTTCAAGTTTGTTAAAGTCTTTTTGACAAATAATGCAAACTTTGATTTTGACATAACATTACCCCTGTGATTCTTAGCTATTGTTGTTCATTTGCCTGTATTTTCTTGCTCTCATTAATATTTTGGTGTATACGTTTGCGCAATAATCTTTAAAACGCATACGCAATGTTTGTGCGTTGTCAATGTCAACTGTTTGTTTTTTGACAGAAGACAGTTTCTTGGCGGGTATAGTCGGCGGGGCAGTTGCTGCTGTTTTCGTCGTCATTGTTGTAGTGATTATCGTCATTTGTAGGAGAAGGTAAAGTCTAAACTTGCTTCATACATTTTAGCCATGTAAAACTATTTCAGCTTAGTGCGGATTTTATCGAGTGTTCTTTCGCATACTTTCATTATTGTGTAATAACTGCTTATAATATGTTTATATAATCATATATTCTTTTGAAGAAAAAGACCTAAAAAGGATGACGTGAGAATGCAGTCTGCGCTGAGAACATCTCCTGCAGCTGGATGTAAAGGTACTTTCTGAATTGATCAAATCCTGCTGACCATGCATCATGTAATTATCATCATTATGTAGCACGTGTCGTTGTACAAAGTTAACCAAATTGTGTTGGTACAATATCATGAAACTAGATATATCAGTCCAGATTGTATCTTTCTCTCCAAAGATCTGACATGCACTTCATGGGATGTCACATCAGTGCGCACCCGGCCTTATCTCAGCTGTCTAAAATGAGTCGACATATCTCGCACCTTCTGCATTTTTAACATAGTGAGTCGTAGGTTTTCGTTGGTACAAACCTATGAAGAACGCATATTTCCTTTTATTAATCGAGTTGTTTAAATTCAGAAACAATATTATTTCCACCACATATATCATCCATAGACATTCACCTTTAGTAGTTTCGAGATGAAAAAGTGAAAACGGACATAATAATACGTATGTGTCTTTTGCTCATACTGAGGATATTAAAGTTTCATTGATGACTTGTTGATTAGAAATTCCAGGTGGGGATACTTTCAGTAATATGCTTCAGAGGTCTGTAGAAGTGCAAGATATGATTTTATACGATTTAGCTAGTATACAACAAATATTTCATATGATCGTTCCTGTACATTTTGACCACATCCGTGGTGTAGTGGTTAGAGCGTCCGCCCGGAGAGCGGAAGGTTGCGGGTTCGATCCCCGACCGCGTCATACCATAAGACGTTAAAATATGGTACTTGTTGGTCCCTGCCTGACGCTCGGCATTAATGGGTACAAGAAGGACTGGTCGGCTCGGAGTCAGTATAATGTGTCTGAGTGGGGTATTCATGCTTCACTGCGGCATGGTATCTGAGTGGGCTAGCACTATAAAACCAGCTTGAGTCTGGGCTAGTACAAGCAGCCACACATACAGATACACACGCACGCACGTCGTCATATGAGCGAAATATTCTCAAGTACGATGTAAAACCCAATTTCACCTCACCTCACCTCCTGTACATTTTGAGGTTCTTGAGAGGCATATAGAAGTTGGTATTCAAGTATAAGACAAAAATATTATGGATGTGAACTTCTTCTTTGTTTTACACGCAACGTTTCTGGGCTATTCCTTGCCCCTTCGTCACCTTCGTCAACCTAGACATCCATAATATTTTATCATATACAGTACATTTTTATTATTTAGATAAGCCATCAGAGAATGAATCCACACCAAGGCTACCTCCTGCAATGGATGAAGATGACGATGACATGTTTTCTGTTGAGACTGAAGTTGACGTCAGCGACGAGGCTTCCTCTGCCTACTACAACTGGATACAACCTCACGTAACGCTGGATAAACTCCAACAGTCTGTCAACGAGAAGAAGAAAAAGGCTTCCTTCGAAACCGAATTTCAGGTTTTTGTTTTCACATTATTCTAATTTTTGTTGTTTAACACAAATTGTACAACTATATGACGGCTGTCTGTAAATAATCGAGTCTGGACCAGACAGTCCAGTGATTGTCATCTTGAACATCAGTGTAAAGAATTGTGATACTATAACATGCATCAGCATAGCCAGCCTGACCACCCAATCCCATTAGTCTCCTGTTACGACAAGAAAGGGTTGCTGAAGACCAATTCTAAATCTTCACCTGTCTTATATTTCAACTGCTGCTTATTATGTCGAACTTCTTTTACTATTTTGACAAGTCTCATCACTACTTATTGCCCCTTAATCGAGTGAATAATGTTTACTGGTTTGCAAAATAAGATTTAACGACAAGAGGGAGATGTAGCCCCAAAACCGCCCTTTTGATGTTGAAAAGCTGTTCGTCCAACGTATAAATGCTGATAAAATTTAGCGAAAATGTACATTTGACACGGAAAAATATTACATTTTGTATGTATGGATGATGCTTATGAAGATACTTCAGGGGTTAGATTGTGCATATAATTTAAGGTTCCAACCAATTTCTGCTCATTTCTGGAACAATATTCTTCGTTGAAAATTAATACAATTTCAATGATGTTTTTTGTGTTTTCTTGTAAAAACCGTTCTACTTGTTGTGATGTTTCACACAATAACAGACTTTGTAGATACTTAGTGTGGGAAAATCTCTCGTCAAGTAGAAGATTTGTACCAAGGCTCCTTAAATAAGGCGTTTACCATTGCAAACTATTTGGAGTTTCACATACGGTAGCATTATAATGAAATGACAAAAGTGTTTTGGTGACATAGTGCATCAAGCATTCGCATATCACACCCAAAGCCCATGTTCTATTCCCCACGTGAAAACGACTGAAGCGTAATTCTGGTGTCAACAGTCCTGAGAACGACTGATTTTGCAAGAGGTAGAGACATATCTTCCTCCCCAATAAACAATAACATGCTGACTGCATTTTAATAATACGAGTATATTTAATTTAGTTTATAGTTAATAGGATATCAAAAAATACTCAAACGCAGTAGCTGCTAGAATTAATATCCTAACTTGATTTTTACTGAATTCTAGTTAGTAAGCCTGCAAACCTGCATGTTCATGTACACATACCACGTGACATTCTGTGTCTCAGACCATCCCGTATGGAGCAAGACATCCACATGAGGCTGGTAAGAAAGACGGCAACAGGAAGAAGAACCGTTTTCTCGCCCTTTATGCATGTAAGTAAATCGTCCATTGCATTTCTTTTTGACCAACTACCGAAAGCTATGCTTTGTCGTAAATTTTAATATACTTATTCAGCCCTTTTCTCTTAGTCATCAATCAATATATATAGTACATAGGAAATGTTACAGGAAAACAATTAGCAATTGAAAATCCTTTCCACCAATAATTGTTCTGTGGACTCATCGTGTCAGTGCAAATACTAGTACAAGACAACTTTCATGTACGTATATGTTATATCACTACTTGCTACAAAAAAACAACCTTATTTTGGAGCTTTACTTAGCACATCAGTCATCTGCATGGCTCAAATATCCGAGAGTCTCACATATGCGTTTTATTCAGATGATGACTCGAGGGTTGTGTTGACGGAGGAAGAGGATTATATAAATGCAAATTATATTTTGGTGAGTAGAATACATTATCATCTGTACATGTCAGTATTATGATGGAATTATTGTCATTATGTCAGTTAGCAAATATAAGTTTAATGGGTTTTTCCAAAAAACATCTGCACATGGATAATTGTGAAAATGCAAAGATTCCAATCGTATTCATGTAAAACGTGTATGATTAGTTTATCTTACCCACTGTTATTGATGGCACTAATCTTATATCTGTCCCCAGGGATACGATGACACTCCAAAATACATAGCCACACAAGGTAAGCACTGCCTTTCATCATATATTCATTACATGTTCTCTGTTCTATTCGTTATGTTAAGGTGATGATCAGGCATCATGGTATATGATTTAGTTATAAAATGGTGTTTGTAATACATACGTTCTTGCACCAAGGACCCAAGCCGGGAACAATCACGGACTTCTGGCGGATGGTGTGGCAGGAGGACGTCACACAGATAGTCATGCTGACGAGGCTGATGGAGGTGAACAAGGTAGGATGTGTTTAAGGGTAATAATCTTGGAAATACCTCCAATAGATTCTGCTACTTAACTCATTAGAATGACTTGTGTCATAACGGTTATGTCTTATATTTATCTATTTCCACATAAGATGTGAACAATAATTGGTCGATGGAAGGAAAGTCCCATTGTGTCATGTTATGTTATTAAAAACAACACATGTGACATATTTTTATTGAAATATCTTTTTTACTTTTTAAAAAATATCGATTTGTATATTGAATGTAATATCAGAGTTTGTTCATAAAACTGTATTCCTAGACGAAATGTGAACACTACTGGCCTGACGAGAACAAGGCTAAAACATACGGACACGTCAAGGTGATGAACACCAATGTGACAGTAAGGGCTGACTACAAAGTATCCAAGTTTTTGGTGAAGAAATCCGTAAGTTTGCATACTTGCTTATCTTACATTCACATACATTTTCAATATTTTAATTGTATTATCCTTTAATAAATGTACATGTACAAGGATGAACAACTGGATAAAATGTATAAAATGTACACCGATATTTTGGCAACGAATCCAGCCAATCTACGCAGGTGAACCCTTTGTAGATAAACGGAGTTTCGTACTTAATATTCACACCAACTTTAAATGCACGGATGCACAGAATCTAAACATTACCAAACAATATTCGGTGCTCGTCTGGTAGCTTGGAACATTTTTAAGTTTCTTCAGTTACACAATATTTTGAATGAACATAAACAGCTTCTTCCTCTTCTTGTTGTTGACTTCTTAGGAACCAATATTGTAACCAGCCATGTCACTGTTAAGAGACTCATTTATATTATAACATACCGCATTACCCTTGGAATAAGTGCAAGTCGGATACCTACAGGGTGTTGAGAGAACTGTGACGCACTATCACTTCACATCTTGGCCTGACCATGGTGTTCCTTCTTCACCTGCCCTCGTCAACTTCTGGAGATTAGTCAAACTGGGGGACATGGATAGGGGACCCATGGTGGTACACTGCAGGTAATGTACATGTCTATCCCGATTCAGACCCAGTGTGGATATAGGGCATGGTACAATTCTTAACTACTGAGTGAGCATGGATTCGATGTGTGTCCACTGGCTTTACCTATTATGATAGGACTCACATGGAGATTCCTTTCTGGTGAGTACCTGAATGGAGGACGTCCACTGATGTAGTCACCTTGTGGTGAATAATATTTGAAGGTGGACCATGTTCCAATATGTGCACACTGCAATTAAATTGAGGCAAGACGAATAAAAGAATAATATTGCTTTACGGCGCATCAGCATTCCAGCTTTCCACAGATCCAGCTAAGAAATCCAGCCTGGTTATACAAAGACCAAGCATATAAGTAAGATGTCAAAGAAAATATAAAGTTATATATCACAGACATAGTAGAAAAATCGACTGCAATCTAATAGTAATTAGATGGTATCAATAACATATGCAATATGTGAATGTCCTTTACGGAACCACCTTATAGTGTACACAGGAGTCGCGGTGGCTCAGTGCATGTAACGCAACTGTTCATTATTTTCTAAAGAAAACAAGAGAAGTGGTCATACAGCCACAGTGCTGGTAACTTCAAGGTGGGTGAACTCCTCGGTATCAACTAACAAGTCCTCATATGTCACGGATAAATGGAAGTTGCTTCAGAAATGGCTTGTGTGAATGTTGATATAAATAGGAATCTGTTCAGACAATGATGTTGTTTTATTCAGTGCTGGAGTAGGAAGAACAGGGGCATTCATTGCCCTGGACTACCTGATGGATGAAGCTGAGAGCGACAACAAAGTCAACGTGTACATGTGTGTTGGCAAAATGAGACTGAACAGGATGAACATGGTGCAGAAAGCGGTAGGTGGTATCTCTGGGTTCCCTGAACAGTGAATAGATTTATCCTTGTATAGCGAACACCAAGACAATAGCTTCTGATGCTTGAGACCAAGGGTTGTGCTAGATGTTTTATTCTGAGTGAGTGAGTGAGTGTGTTTAGTTTTACGCCGCTTTTAGCAATATTCCAGCAATACCACGGCGGGGGGACACCAAAATTGAGCTTCAAACATTGTGTCCATGTGGGGAATCGAACCCAGGTACTGATGCTTGAGACCAAGACTTGTGCTAGATGTTTTATTCTCTATTACCAGTCACGTACTTTACAGAAGTGCAAGGCTCGAAGCAACGCTCTCTTTTAGTTTCGACGATTCGTAAGGAAATGAGACGGATGTGTGTCAGATTGAATAAATGGATACTTTTGGTTGATTGTGTCGACATTATCTCATCTTTGTCGCTTATTTCATTCAAATACACTGACAAAATACCCTCAATGTTTGTTCAGAAAAATGTGGTCGCGTGGTCTCCACATTGTTTCATTGAGGTTGGAATAATGCATATGTTCTATTCAGAAACAGTACGAGTTTGTACATGATGTGGTCCTGGAGGCTCTCAATAGTCGAGGAACACTCTACACTTCGTCTGAGTTTGACAAAACCTTTGGTGTGGACGGGACGTTTACAGCAAAGCAAGAGAACATACTGAAAAAGCAATTTAAAGTAAGTGCATGTACATACAGCTTCTCGAAAGATGATGTTTCTATCAAAATGATTATCCTAGCAGAGCTTGTTTCTTTACTTTGCGTACAGCACATATACAATACACACTATGCGTCAAAGATTTCCATTGGGACTTCATGGGAAGCCTTTTCTTTGTTTCTTCAGTTACTTCAAGTACAGACATCTGACCGGACAGAGGAGGAAACTTCGCATGCCCTGCTTCTAGACAATGCGGCCAAGAATAGGAACCGGAACATCCTCCCTGGTACGTATCACACATTCAGTA